GTTGGGAAGAATTAAAAAGAGTTTTGCCAATGACAGTGAAGAGGGAGTCTGAAACACGCTGGAGTGCACAATCAGAAGCTGTTAAAGCTATTTATGAAGGACTAGATCAACTAGTAGGGCTGTTGGAATAATTATCAGAAGATGCAACTAAGACGCTTGAAACCAGAAGTGATCCAGAAACTTTGCTGGCAGGTATATTAAACTTTAACTTCTTAGTTTTGCTACATTTCTGGAACATCATACTTGGGAAAATTGATCGTGTCCAGAAACGGTTGCAGGATGCTACTAAGAATTTCAAGGAAGCAGCATCTGATCTTGAATCGCTGGAGCAAGAACTTGTCAACATTTGTGATTATTTGAGCCAATTTGCGGTAGACAATGGAAAAACAAGATGCACAACTTGGGGAATCAAGATTGACAGAAGGATTAGACGACATCGGAGGATGCCTGGAGAATTAGCAAGAGATGCAGGACTTTCTGGAGAAGAAGAAATTGCACGTGTTATGAACAGCGTAATTGATAGACTCCAACAGGAGATAGCAATACGGTTTTTATGTTTAAAAAAGCTAAACACCAAATTTGGATTTTTACTAGACGTCAAAACTGTTCTTGCTGAGACAAATGTCGATACACTTCGTAAAAATTGCTGAGATTTTGGAAATTTCTACGACACTGACGTCAATGGTCACGAATTGTGCACAGAAATCGGAGACTGCAAAATGCTGCTGAGTACCCGGACTGAAGTTCTACCGGAAACTCCTTTGGATCTTCTTGGTTTTATTGTTTCATATGGAGATGACGTATTTCCGAATCTGCACATTGCACTGCAAATACTTCTAACAATTGCTGTTTCAACTGCAAGCTGTGAACGTTCCTTCAGCAAACTGAAGATTATTTTGTCTTATTGACGTGCTTCAATGGGACAAGATCTTGCACTTTTTAGCATCGAAAGAGAAACACTTGAGAATATTAATTTTGACAAGGTGATTGACCAGTTTGCAACAGTCAAATCAAGGAGGATCAATTTGTTGTAGACTACGTCTATTCCAGTCATGTATAATTAGTAGAGTATTTTTTTTTTTCAAATTAATTGTTTACAATCGTATAGAGAATTATTAGTCTGTATTCTATTTCATTAAAATACCAGATGCTTTGAAAACGAGCCATATAAACCATAAAATTTCAAAATTTTCTTGGGGGCTCAGTCTGAGCCCCCAGACTCTGTCGGTCCGAGAAGGGGCGCAGACTTTGTGTCATGTCCCCGGGCGCAGATGACCCTAGCTACGCCACTGCATTGAGGTAACAGTACATAACAAGAATTATAATTGGCTGAAGATACCGAACTCATTTTACAAGCTGAATTTTTATTGGTTCACCATAAATAGTATCTCGTTAAAAGTAAAAATATACATTAGAACTTTGTTATTCTAAAGTGAAAGGCAAACCTCGAGTTAGAAGCTTGTTATTTTGTATTTCCTGCAAAATCGGCTCATTATAAAGCTTCCATCTTTTGTACCATGATAGATGGGTTGATAAACTGTTACACAGGGGCAATAACTCATTTTTTCAAAAAATCGACTTAGACCATTGTTATTCTAAGGGGATGAAATATTAAGTACGCAAAAAAGTAAAATATTATTCCCCTCCCCTTGAAGCACCCATCCTCTTTCTGGGGTAATAAGGGGAGAGACTGCAATCATGTTGGCATAATATAAAATGAGTAAAACAGAGTAGGGTTAAACCTGAAAAAAAAGAAACACAACAAAACAACGAACGTGTCGGCAAAAGGCCTTCGTCAGCGAACAAAACAGAAAAAAAATGGTATAAAAGAAATAGCACTTAGCTTGGGAGTAGTATCTGTGGGCAGCAAAAGAAATGTGACAGAAAGTAAGTGAGTGAGAGATTAAATAGGGAAGAGCGAAAGAAAAGAGGAGAAAAAAGTCCACTGCGATAGGTCAGGACGTGGAGGGTGGAGCTAGGGTCACGCTGTGAAAGGGGACATGACATTCATCCTATGTGGCATCAAAGTACCATAAGTCAGGATAAGCCTGTGTTCCAAATTGACCCGGCTGGGTGTGTTCATGCTAGCCACAATCGCACTTATTGAAAAGTCTGTCTTGCCCTGGTGGTTGCTACTATTGAAGTGTTTGGAGAAGGACACTGTTTATCTTGTGTAATGTTATGGAGGTGTTCGGTGCACCTGTCAGAGAGACAGCATCCAGTCTCCCCTATGTAAGTCATCTGACCCCCCCCCCCCCCCTTATTAACATAGGTACAATGAGTGGTAGGCTCTCCCTGCCCCCCTGATATGAAAGACAATTAAATGAAGCAAAGTCAACAAAGTCCAGTGTTTCCTAACTTGTGGCATACCCCCACCCACAGGGAGGCAATTTGAATATTATAGTGACCACATATTATTATAATAGTCTCTAAAGCGATGGTGAAGGAAGGGGTAGGGTTAGGAGAAGCAATCTGCACAGGGCAGCACAATATGGAGAGGCAGCATTTTGGTCAACATTTTGCGATAGTGGGCGGCTAAATTATGGACTACTGGGGGGGGGGGGGGGTGGGCTTTAACCCTTGGTATGACAAAGCTCTGGGATATAAGAAAAACATTTGTTTCAAAAGGTGGGTGTGTGAGTTGGGGAGGGGGGGGTGTACATTTTTAAACATTTCAAAAGTTAACCACCTGGATGATTATGTTTTTCGCAATTGCTAAATAATTATATTTCATTTATTTTTTTGTCATTTTTATCCCAAAATTGTGTATCTGAAGTCTGAAGGCCTAGATGGCAGTAAAACAGAAATTCAATTTCTGTATTTAGCATTAAGTATGATTCAGACTGCTTTTTATCCCTTCCCACTAATACTAAAAGGGGCAATGGGATATTTGATGACAATCGAGGCATATTTCTGAGCAAAAAATTAGTACTTGTACCTTTTGACTGAACTTAAATACAGGTATGTTATAAATTCTGAACTTGGTGCAGATTTAACTACAACTATTATAACAGCAACCTCTGTGTTGTCGCAGCCACTTGAAATATAATAATTTAAAATGCAAATAAATTAATATGTAGGCCTAATTGTAATGGGAATAAACTCTATAGAAATAAATTTGCTTACTATTTCCGCCTGTAAAAGTACTTTTAACGGGGCCTCTTTGGGGATTAATTGGGTGTGAAATTAGCTTAAAAAATGTGTACTCCCATTATTCATTAGGCTAAGTATGATGCTGGAGAAAGTACATTATGTATGGCACTAGATTGCAAAATCAACTGACTTTCTAAAGTTTCTTTACTAATTACTTTAATTAAAAAGTGGTGGAAAAGTGGTTTTGAGGTCCTTACTAAACTAAAGAAAAGAATGTAAAACTTTTGAACTACTTGACATTGAAAGTTGAGCTTGGCGGTTTTGTAATCCATTCTGGCTCCATTCTATATGCTATGTACAGCTGTAGTATTTAAAAAAAATTTTTTTTTGAAATTTTCATCAAAGTGACTATTTAGGCCTCTTCTATTCAGCAGTCAGCTGAGTAATCCGAACTACTTTAACAGGTGTGTCACTAAATTATGTCAGATAACTATTTAAAGTATACTTACTTTGAATTTAGACGTTTTCTAAGTCTAAGTGCCACTGCATGCTTTCCTCGAGATTATTTATTTATGTATGTTACCATTGCGGCAAGGATGTATACTAAATGTATATTTTGAAATCAAAACATGTTGATGCTTTCGTTTGCAAATTTTGGTCATGCTACATACAGAACGTAAACAACCTCGATTGCGCATGGCATGGGCATGTCATCAGAAATCATTGGTATTTTTGGACCATTCAATTCATTCAAAATTGGTAAAATAGAACCAAGATTTAATATATCGTACATACATTGCAAATATAGTTACAGACTTCGAATCTATTTCTTTTTTTTAAAAATGCTTCAATTTACCTTTCCGTTGAAATATAAAAATAATAATATCATAATATTATTACGTAATTTAAAAACTAGGTAAAAAATGGGGACGACTGCCACTATTTTATCGAATTTCACGAATGAATGTATCCCTAAATCGATCCCTATGCCTAACTTGAACCCTAAATCGATCCATATGCCTAACCTGAACCCTAAATCGATCCCTATGCCTTACCTGAACCCTAAATCGATCCCTCAACCTAACCTAAACCCTATTCACTGCATCTATAAAAACACACAAAAGACGCCGTCCTCGGATTTAGCCAAAAAGTAGAATAAATGACCCGATGTTATCGGGATAATAGTGGTAGGTCCTTTGCGATAATCTCCAAATTGCAAAAACTCATCACAATTCATAACTTTAAAAATGTAATGATATTTCCGTCATTAAGTTTTGAGAAGTATTTAGCTGCTATATAATATATATTATACTCTCCTAGCCTATTGAAACCGCTACGATATAAGGAGCAGAGAACACAAGTAAATATGCTTACTAATATAATAATAATTTATGTCTATTGTTAACCATTTAAAAAAATAATAATAATTTGTTATTTCTGTTACTGGTAGGAATTTCAAATAATAACATTTTGAAATTACTAGAAAGTACATTTTTATTATTATAGCACAATATATATGATAAAGACAAAGTGTGAAATTCTAGCTTAGGATGCCCTAGAACAGTGGTTCTCAACCTTCCTAATGCCGCGACCCTTTAAATACACTTCCTCTGTTATGGCGACCCCCAACCAACAAATTATTTCCGTTGCTACTTCATAACTGTAAAGTACATGTGTTTTCCGATGGTCCTAGGCGATCCCTGGGAAAGGATCGTTCGACCCCCAATGCAGTCGCGACTTACAGGTTGAGAACCGCTTCCTTAGACATTCAATATTCATTTGACATCTCTAAGTAAAAGGTAATTTAACAACTACGGTAAACGCAGGCAAAAAGTTCACAAGTTTGCTACTTATACTGCAGTGGTAAACGCAGCCTTCAGTGTGTTGAGTTTACCGCCGATAGAAACGTAGTGCCGGCCAAATAAATGTATTTTCTTTAAGTGTCGAATTTTTGGTCAGTTTTTAAAAGGGGCTTATGATGTGTTTTATTAATTTCAGTCATTTTAAAATAATATTCCTTAGATGAATTGCAGCTTTGTTGACCTATTAGAAATGTTTTGTATGAATTAGATTATAATTTGGCCTAGCCCTAATGCCTGTTACTATTAGTATTAGCCCTACTAATATATACCTTGGGCTTGGCTTGGTGACTTGGTGCTAAAATACTAGTCTAAGTCTAAGTAATACCACCATGGTTTTGGAGATGAAACATAGGGACCTGGGCGACAGGGGAAGTGAGTTCACATTCGTACACCCACCATTGAAAAATCGTTTCCTTTTCGTCTTGCTGCTTATAATTACAATGCTTTTGGCATTTTTATCTGGACTTCATTTGTTGGTAAGAATCAATTCTATACATTTTAATTTTAATGTTAAAAAAGCTAACTACTCACTGCTAGGGTCGCCTTCTCCCACTCCTCGCCTCTGGTTAGTTGGCCATGGTCATGGATCCAGGGTGTATACCGAAGGACCTTGTGCCTAATGTGGTAATTTACGGGGACGACTGCCACTATTTTATCGAATTTCACGAATGAATGTATCCCTAAATCGATCCCTATGCCTAACCTGAACCCTAAATCGATCCCTATGCCTAACCCGAACCCTAAATCGATCCATATGCCTAACCTGAACCCTAAATCGATCCCTATGCCTTACCTGAACCCTAAATCGATCCCTCAACCTAACCTAAACCCTATTCACTGCATCTATAATAAACACCGTCCTCAGATTTAGCCCCTAATGTCTTTGTAATGAAAATCAGTATCAGCAGAGGGGCAAAGATATTTTGGACAGCAGTGACTGCAGTGTAGATGAAACATGAAGGCAGCCTACATCGAAATAAGCCAGAGTGAGAGTCATCACCAAAGACTGGCTGAGATTGTTCTGACTGGCAAACTGCTGTGAAAATGGGAATCCAACAGGGAGAGTGGGTTTTCAATTAATTTGCTGCTGGAGTAAACTAAGCCAAATGCAGAAACGAAATCACAATTTTCAATTATTTTAATTGCCCCATTATTTAAAAGAAAAAATATCAGTCAATATAAGTAGAAAAAGAACTAAGACAAGAGTCTAGAGAATTATCATCCTTTTTTTAATATTAAATAATAAAATAAATTGTAACTTTAACAATTTTCTTCATTTTAAAAATTATTTTAGACTATTTGGTATCATTAATTTTAGAGCTATTTTAAATTTATAGAAAAATACCATAATATAATATACCTTTTGCAAAAAAAATAAAATAAATATAATTTGTTAAGAGTTGAGTACCATTATTTATGTCTTTTTTATTTATTTTGGGTGTAAGTGTAAGGGAATTGAATTTCTAATTGTATGGTCAAAGGCAGTGCTGTGCTAATAAGTTATTATTTTTTCACAAAGCCCAGGGCAGCACATGATAATGATATCTCAAGAAGAAAGATTTTTTTTAAAGACTTCCTTTCTACTTGCAAATCCATGGGGTTTGTAGCATAATTTTGTGTTGTCACATGTGACACTCTCTTATGGTCAATGCAGTCTTCCTCATGCTGACCTGTAAGGCCACATCTGAGATAATGACAAAGAGTGAATGTTACAGCTCTTGTATGTTGGTTTGTTGAGGGGGGGAGGGGGGATGTGGTTGGAGAGGTAAGTGGTGCAGAAATAAGAAAAGAAGATTAAAAAAAACAACCCTACCACTTTGCTTATAATAACCATCAGTCCTAGCTGTAGGATTTTGGCATAGGATAGGGAAAAGTTTTTGGGCAGGAAATTTTGGCAATTAGACTTTGAACAACGAATGGTTTGGACCAGGGTTATAGAAAGCTGCAGATGTTAATAATTGTAATTGTACTTTTGGTGATAATTTTAAGATTAAATTTTTAATACTAACAAGTAGATAATAAAAATATATAAAATTTAGAGAAGAAAAAATATTTTCTATCAAAATACAAGTTTAAGCACACCAAATAGTTGAAAATAATTGTTTAATTCTTAAAATGCATTACTCATAGAAAGTCTGCAGAATATATTTTCAAAAATGATAGAAATAAAACATATTTAAGTTTCTTTGCATAGTGTGCTCTACGTCTACACTTTTGCACTGTCTTTCTTTACATAATGCATTTATTAAGAAATTAAAAATTTTTTGTTCTACTTTTTAGTGCCTTTAAAAAATCATCTTTGATAAAAAGTCTTTTTTAACAAGTTTAAAAAAAAAAATCGATTGATTATTCACAATTATTAATATTTCTTATCTTTTGCAAAATTTATCAGCTTATTATAAGTATTTAAATGAAGTGAATAAAAACATCTGTCATGCTATGTTTTAGTTTCGCTTGCTGAATTTTTTCTATAGCCTCTTCCACATTAGATTTTTTAAATGTCAAAGAGAAAGTTTTGCATTTTTTACAATAGTTGATGTTGGTCATTACTGAGAATCCAGCTTCACTGACGTAGGTGCTTCCAAAAATATGGTCTAAATTTTGTTACAACATTAAGTTGTGAAAATTCATCAGAAGAAACTTATCTCTTCCAGAATTCATTTGGCCACATTCTTATGTTTCTTTGTAAAAAAAATAATTTCAAGAATCGTTCCTACTGTTTCTCACATTTCTCCCTGACTGAATTGCACTTACTACAAAAAAACAAAAACAAAGCTTGTATCCAGCTTTCTACTCTTAAAACGCCTCATACTTGGATCTATGAATACCAGATACTTGTCCCCAATTTCACAACAATACTAGATGGACACATGCTCTCACATACCTGACTAGACTACCTGTTTAAACAACATGGTATCATAATTGATTCACACTGCCAAACCGTATTCATCTGTGACACCTTTAGTACCCCATCACCCGTTTCGATTACTCTGACCCAAAGACTTGCCTTTCATATATTATCATCATACAAGGCACAGTCGTTAACTGACAATGCTCACCTCTCTGTTTCATCCAACTTTGATGGTTTGGACACCACTTGTCAAAGGTGTTTTTTTTTCTCCACTTCATAACACACCTTAACAATCTTTTGAATTAACATATTTCTTTATTTATGGTCACAGGACAAAGGTCTTCTTGCAACTTTGTGCCTAGTTTTAGGTGTTACCCTAATGGTGAAGCTGTATTTGAAAATTCACTCAGGTAGGAGGGTTCTTCCTTTCTATTATTAATATTGACAGTTAAAAGCATATTATTGAATTATAAAAGGTGTCAAAAACTGTTACAAAATATTCAGATAGAAAATTTAACAAAAGTATGACTTATGTAGGCACTATATTTATGTGAATTTCTAATGAAAAACGTTCTTCTTTTGTTTTGACAGAAAATCTTCTCATTCTGCCATCTCTTGGTCTTCAGTTGGAAACACAATATTATCTCGGCCACAAACACACACACTTTATTCATCTGACACATATAAAAGATGTTATTATCAATGAAGCTGTTACAATGGTAAATTAAATATCTGACGCATATAAAAGATGTTATTGTCAATGCAGCTGTTGCAATGGTAAATTAAATATCTGACGCATATAAAAGATGTTATTGTCAATGCAACTGTTACAATGGTAAATTAAATATCTGACGCATATAAAAGATGTTATTGTCAATGCAGCTGTTGCAATGGTAAATTAAATATCTGACGCATATAAAAGATGTTATTGTCAATGCAGCTGTTGCAATGGTAAATTAAATATCTGACGCATATAAAAGATGCTATTGTCAATGCAGCTGTTGCAATGGTAAATTAAATATCTGACGCATATAAAAGATGTTATTGTTAATGCAACTGTTGCAATGGTAAATTAAATATCTGACGCATATAAAAGATGTTATTGTCAATGCAGCTGTTGCAATGGTAAATTAAATATCTGACGCATATAAAAGATGTTATTGTCAATGCAGCTGTTGCAATGGTAAAGTAAATCTTTTTGAAGATCTTTCAAGAAATGAACACCAAACTGTAAAATATAACCACACTGTTTATGTTAAGCATTCGTTTCACTGATTTTTGCTCACTTTGTAATCAAATAAAAACAAGGATTTCCGATATCTTTCCTTGGCAGCATTCCATCATGCACTATTTACTAGTGTTGTTGAAAGGCAAACAGAGTGATCAAGTTAAGGCACTGCAACCTGTGTTTTCCGTGAGTTCTTTCTTTTACGAAGCATGCAATGCAACAAATCATTTTTACAGTTATCTTGGAAAAGTTAATGAAACTAAACTAAACTAAAACAAACTAATCTCTTAAATATTTAAACACTAACAGGTTAAAAGCGCAAGCTGAAGGTCAACTTAAAAGCCTTTTCTTTTTTCAGTTGATTAATTCTGATTTTTCACCCCTCGTTTCCAGCACTCGTGGCCTTCCCTTGCTCATCTTAAGCTCGTGTATAAAGCTGCTCAAGAGAAACTCATCAAATCACATAGGAGGTAACAATGGAAGACATCACGGAGATCTGAGCATCTCATTCTTTTCATTTTTAATTATTTCTTTATACCATGTATGAAATATTTATCAGATGCCTTATGAAATAATCACCATGAGAAATATAATATTTACTATAGTATAATAAGGATGTATGATCAGGAAGAACCATAATTTAATCCGGAATAACCCTAGAATTTTACATGGCTAAAATAACCAGAGATACACTGTTATTTTAAATATCATATCACCTCATGAGAAACTTCAAATATCCATATCTCTATAATGAAATGACATTGTGAGCAGGAAATGGCTTACCTAGAGATTTGCTGCAGAAATTTTTGTTCAAACAGAAATTATCACCATCTTCCCAGCCCAAACCATACAAAGCCCCCAGACTTTCTGTCAGCCTCTCAGACTTTCTGTGAGCCTCTCAGACTTTCCGTCAGCCTCTCAGACTTTCCGTCAGCCTCTCAGACTATGTGGCCTCTACCAGTTCGATGAAGACTGTTAAAACATAGGGCTGTTGAAATGATGGACTTCTCCCACTCCAGATCTTATCCTGAAACTACTCTTGTCTGAGCAACGAATCATCTCAGCACTATCGCACAGAATGATGCTATCAAGCATTGTCCAAACAAAATGAATATCAAACCAAACTCATTCTAATCCACCACACCTTATTTCACACAGCTTGAACGCAGTTCTTCATTTATTGCCCTTGGCGAACTGTTCGCAACCCACCAATTTTGTAACTTTACACCAGAGATGGGCAAACTCTCTGACTATTAGGCCATTTCAGCGGTCAAGAAGCCAGACTAGGCCAGAAGAAACAAAGAGTTTTATTAAAAAATTTTGGTATGCTGTATGTCAAACATGATGTAGCATGTTCACAGAGACAGGTACAATATCAGCTTAATTAATGATGAGTTCAGAAACTCCTGATCCCCTGTGTAGTCTCTGTACATTGGCACATGCTTTGTATCGAATCGGCTGTGTAGTCTCTGTACATTGGCACGTGCTTTGCATCGAATGGCCCCTTGAGATTTGACTGCTTCAAAGTGCTGTTGATACACTAAACACAGGGCCATGTTGCCGTGTTTGATGAAGAATAATTCGTCCGTCCATTTGGGGTTGAAGCATGAAGATGCCCCGTTGGATGTCAACCTTCTGGAGACGTGTAGCTGGGCACTGCTTCTTCTCTTTAGGGATACTGATTGTGGTTGCTGTGGAAGAACTGATATTGATTGTGGTTGCTGTGGAGGAATTGATACTGATTGTGGTGGATACTGGGGAGGAACTCGATGTCAATAATACATTCATGAAAATAAATTGTAGAGTTTTTTAACTGGCTCTCATTCTTCATTTTTGGAATTGCTTGGCATGGCATAGTGCATACACCTGTGCACAACATACACCTTGACACATTCATCATCCCTCCCCTGACAGGTTCTTCTGTTTCATACAAGCTCCTGAGTCAGTTCTAAAAATAAACAGCCACCACAGCTTGAGTTGCCAGCTGGGATAACGAAGGGGAAGAAAGCGATGACAATTCAATTAGGCCGGATCAAATATAAAAAAAAAACAACACAAAGTTGGCGTTAGGTCGGTCTGGAATACTAGATAGGCCGTACCTGGCCAAGAAACCAATAATGCTATTGGTTACGTGACCTGGCGTAAAGGCAATCATCTACACCCTGAGGTCGGCTTGAGGTTAAAGTTAATGTACATGTGTATTCCTCCAACAGAATAAGAAGTTGAGATGAGTGGCCCAGCTGGAGTTTGTGCTGCCTGTGGGCGGTCCTTACCAGTGAAAACCTGGGGGAAGTCCGGTCGACTGAAAACACTGCCTTTAAAGCGATAGCGGTCCACTCTCCTTTGGTCTGAACGGCTTTGGCTCCTCTCGGGGGGAAAGGTTTGCGTTACCTCCCCCCACCGTCCGGTCGGGACAAAATGGTCGCTTAGGAGCGGCTTTCTCATGGCAGCAAAGCCAAAATCATCAGTGTGGGTTTTGACCGCCAGCCAGACCTCATATCCAGACCTCACATCCAGACCTCCTATCCAGACATATCCAGACCTCATATCCATTAACGGCAACAAGTAATGATGTTATTGCGTTCCTCCTGTTGCGTTGGAAGTCATGCAAGTGGCCGGGGTTTTTTAGCTTCGGGAGGACAGAGCCTCCCCACTAGTGGGCCACGCCACGAAGAGGCAAAACCCCATGTGACACCTCCAAGTTTCCTCGAAAACGCTCCACTTCCGCGGACAGAATATATGTTATCAAATAATTCTATTTAATTTCAACTTTGTTTCATTTCAAGCTGCAAGTTTGTTACAAAGCGTTATGCATCATTTAAAATTGAACTAATCAAAACTCTGGACCAGTACTTGAACTAGCTGAATGCCTTTCATTACTTGTAATTGTAATCAAGTCAGCCAATTTAAATTTCTTCACTTTTTAAACTATTTTTTTCCCAACATCCTGAAAATTTTTTTTTGTGGACAGTTTGAATGTGGGCCTGCTAATTACAACACCAGATGCCAGTGAAAGCTTTCAGTTTCACTCAGGAATAATTTATTTAATAATTAAATAAAGATAAAAAATATAATAACTTTTTTTTTGTCTAAATAAAAGAATTTTTGTGAGTATTAAATAAGTCTAAAATATTTTTTGGAGACATGCATGTTAATCTCCTAATGTGTCTTTAAAAAAACAAGACTCTTCCAATGAAGATTCTGTTATTGTTGTTTTTAAACAAAATATTGTTGTCTTTTTGCTCAGGTAGTTGTATTTAAAATGCGTAAAGTTATATCATAAAGTTATATCATTCTAATTTTCATCATATACATTTTTAAAATTAATTTTTCATTAGATTGGTTTAAAAAATATTACAGAAAGATTTTGACAGCATCCTGTTTAAAAATATCGTTTGTCAGGCAGCTGTGCAATGGACAGATAACCGAGCACATATGACATCATGTGCCAAAAACTAGACGTATTGAAACTCTAACATCTTGAATGCATACTTGTATTTGTCAATGGTGCCTAGGTCCTGCTGCCACGTTTCATTAGGAGATGGCGCCAGTGGGTCGAGCGTGAGCTCTTAGACCCCGTCCGGCACACCCCCACACGGTGCAACGCCGGGTCTCCTCACCGGTCCGGTCGACCGTGCACACCCCTCTCCGAATGTGGACAGTACACTCTCCCTATGTGGTATGGGACAGCTTTGCTTCCTCTCCAGGATGAGATGTTGCGCAGCTCTCCCACCACCCAGGGAGTTATTTGGCTTTGGGTCGAGAAGCTTTACTTCCTCTCGGGGGAAAGGCGTTGCGTTACCTCCCCTCACCGTCCAGGGAGTTGTTCGCTTGGGTCTGGGGAGTAGTTCGGTCGGGACGTATGCTTGGACCAAACGGTCACCTAGGAGCGGGTTTCTCAGGGCCGCATGTTTTTAATCTTCCGGAAGGGTTATGCTTCCACCCAGGCCTCATATCCATTATCGGCGACACGTAATCATGTTAGCGCGCAACTTCCGTTGGGTTGGAAATGATCAGAATTATATATTTGGTAGCTTTTGTTGGAAATGGATCCCCATTAGCAATCACTGATGTACAGGTACCGTACAAGCGAAAGTGACGGTCAAATATGAAATGTATTTCCAACAACTGCCTAATACAACTTTCCTCACACCTCAGGGAGCACATGGTGGCTGGAGCTATGCTCAGTTGACAAACACACTGGTGGCTGGAGTTATGCTCAGTTGACAAACACACTGGTGGCTGGAGCTATGCTCAGTTGACAAACTCAGTTATATGTTCAAGATGAAGCAGTTTCAGTACTGTTACCTTTGGTGCATGCTGTAGATAAAAAAAAATTGTTCTTTTTATTTACTCCTGAATTGATTTCGTTGAAAAATCATATTTTATTATAAAGTACATGCAATCTATGTTGACTTTTTTTGATTATCGTTATTTTATAATGGTTTGATTTTTAAATGTTCAACTATCTAATGGTTTGATTTTTAAATGTTCAACTATCTAATGGTTTGATTTTTAAATGTTCAACTATCTAATGGTTTGATTTTCAACTGTTCAACTATCTAATGGTTTGATTTTTAAATGTTCAACTATCTAATGGTTTGATTTTTAAATGTTCAACTATCTAATGGTTTGATTTTTAAATGTTCAACTATCTAATGGTTTGATTTTTAAATGTTCAACTATCTAATGGTTTGATTTTTAAATGTTCAACTATCTAATGGTTTGATTTTTAAATGTTCAACTATCTAATGGTTTGATTTTTAAATGTTCAACTATCTAATGGTTTGATTTTTAAATGTTCAACTATCTAATGGTTTGATTTTTAAATGTTCAACTATCTAATGGTTTGATTTTTAAATGTTCAACTATCTAATGGTTTGATTGATTATTTTTGTGTATTATTTGAACAATTTCTTATTTTAATTATATCGAGTGATGGTAATTTTTTACTTGTATTTGTTTGACCTGTGCACTTCGGGGATTTTTGTTCATGGCTGACTTGTGTACAATGTCTCAACATTTTTGACTTGTGGCCACACGGTAGATAAACTAGACCTGGTACATCATTGTCAGTCAAGGTAGATAAACTAGACCTAGTACATCATTGTCAGTCAAGGTAGATAAACTAGACCTAGTACATCATTGTCAGTCAAGGTAGATAAACTAGGGACATCCCCTCCCCCCTTTTCCTTTCCTTTACAGCATTTTCCCCAAACACTGTCCACTCTAGTCCAGTTGGGCCTCTGTTTAATTGTGCTCTGGTGATATAATCTATACACTTGTTTGAAGTTTGAGCTTAATCAAAACATTGCACGTGATCAATTTTATATAAGTCTAAGTGTTGTGTATTTGTTTGCTTTATTGACCTTTGTGCCTTGATGAATAATCAAAGACTAAGTTAATGTTTTAAGTCTGTATTTGATGGGAGCGTTCATTGTATTTTTCAGTTCGTGTAATTCTTATTTGGTCTTGTATTATAGAGTTGATGCAAAAATAAATGATGAAAACGTTTGATAGAAAATTTTTTAATCATGCAAACAGGTCTTGTTTGTTTGAGTGGCATGTGTTGGAAATGAAAACATAATAGATTTCATATGCAGGTACCTAATTATCACAATGCTGATAGTTGCTCTGTCTATTCTAATAATAGATTTCGAAGGGTTCCTTGGATCTTATGAAATATGTCAATCAGAAGTTCTTGTGCAGAGCAGTTGGGATTGGGAACGCATTTTAAAACCTGATAACCGATTTAAAACCGGATTCCTACAACCGATTACCGGTTCCCCTCCCCCCAAAACAACAAAGGATATTGACATCCATATTTTTCAATTGGAAATATACAACAGAAAGTGGACTCTCTTTTTTTTCTTTTTCAACCGTTGATATTTCACCGATCTCTGTATTATCCGACTTGCTTATTTTTTTTTTGTTGCTACGATTAAAAAGAGTTGTATGAAAATACTACCTAACACTAGTGCCCCCCCCCCCTTTTTTCAGCTCTGTGCTGTGTGATGAACACTCCAAGAAAGCCACGGAACTGTGTGCTACAACAGCCCTGTGCTGTGTAAAGAACACTCCAAGAAAGCCACGGAACTGTGTGCTACAACAGCTCTGTGCTGTGTAAAGAACACTCCAAGAACGCCACGGAACTGTGTGTTACAACAGCTCTGTGCTGTGTAAAGAACACTCCAAGAAAGCCATGGAAATATGTGCTACAACAGCCCTGTGCTGTGTAAAGAACACTCCAAGAAAGCCATGGAACTGTGTGCTACAACTACAACAGCTCTGTGCTGTGTAAAGAGCACCACAAGCCGACGAGTCTACTGATTTAACAACACACTTTACAAAGCTTTTATTGGATCTCTCTGCCCGAGAGTCGAACACGGAACTCATTTGTGTATGTTTAGAGAGATTGAAGACGACGGTTTGAATTAAATTCGCCGAATGCAGGTGAAAGGCGGAAAGCTCAACATGAGTAATAACTTATCCACCCCCCCCCCCTTTTCCCAACCCCCAAAGTCTGCAGTAGTAGCAGAGTCGTCACGTGGGCCCATTAACATATGCGGCTGCAGGGTCCTCAAATATTTATGATTTAAGTGGCCCACAGTGGGAAAAGTTTTATAATGCAAGGGGCACGAAATATAGCTGAAAAGGGTTTGGTGGAGGAGGGGGGGGGATAAAAAAAAAAGTCTCACGACGGCTGTGGAGTAAGTAGGGTGTAAATTATTTTTGGGGAACCCTCGTGAAATGATGACCTACTTAATATTTAAATGATGTTAGACATGGTAGTGGCCTTGGACCCCCCCCCCCCCCC